GAGGGAGGGGTGACCTTGGTCGGCCGGGACAAAAAGCACAATGAATTTATTCCGGGGGCACGAACCGTGCCCGACCGTCCCACGAGAACCGACTCGTCCACCGCCGATTTCGACGCGACGTCATGTGGTAAAAAGTGACGTCAACAAAAATTCGATTTCAAAAGAGGAAATAGGAAGAGAAGTGCACTTGAAAAAAAACACATTGGATCTAGAGTCCAGACTCTTGAAAACATTGACAAGAACAAGTACTCTTGATTCAATCAGATTTAAGCTTAAACAAAGAACCGAAGCCTCTTAATTTGAGCGGATTTCCTTTTGATTTAAGCTTAAATCTGATTGAATCAAGAGTCCTTTTTCTTGTCAATGTTTTCAAGAGTCTAAACTCTAGATCCAATGTGTTTTTTTTTCCAGTGCACTGATAAAAATATTGTGTTCTTGTGTTACTTTTAGTTAATATAGAAAATGGAACACACACCAACTCAAATTGTGTGGTGATTTTGGTGCAGTTTGCGAGGAATTCAGCGCAGAAATCAATGGAGAGACTGAGAAACCCTTGAGTGAACCGAGGGCTTGGGTTGTCAAATCTTGTGTTTTACTTCCCATATTAACACACAAATTTGGTTACTTTTTTTACTGTGTAAGCACACCCGAACGACGGTCAGGATTTAATTAGTAGCGGATACGGACGTTGAACACTGGAAGAAAAAACACATTGGATCTAGAGTCCAGACTCTTGAAACCATTGACAAGAAAAAGGACTCTTGATTCAATCAGATTTAAGCTTAAATCAAAAGGAAATCCACTCAAATTAGGAGGCTTGGTTCTTGATTTAAGCTTAAATCTGAGAGTTTTTTCTTTAGAGTTTTTAAGAGTCTGGACTCTAGATCCAATGTGTTTTTCTTTCCAGTGAATCCAAGAGTACCTCGGACGGCCAACTTATAAATTAGAAGCTATTAGTGCAGAACCTGGAACACCAGAGGTGAGGAGTGAACGATCGATTATCGATATTCCCCCATATAAAGCTACGGCAGAGAATCGATTATCAAAGCGTTCGTTGCGAACTCCTCGTTCATCGATTCTTCCCCATAGGTTCAAATGGCAGATCGATCGATTTATCGCAAAGCACGCCACGCCATCATCGCGGCGGAGAAATGAATGTCCCCCGAAAAACAAACGCAGGGACAAGGGGCGCGCGTCGAGAGAAAAGACCGGGTCCGGGGACAAGAGCGCCCTCGCCCCCCATTCGAAAGGGACGAGGGAGTTAATTAAAACGATTGAGCTTTTCGGAACTCGGCCGCAATCCGCAAACGAAAGGGTCGCGGCGACGTTGCCATCCCGGTCGAAAAAACAAACGTTTTCCCGCAGAAAAGCATACGAGTTTCCCGACCACCCCGCACGGCCGGGTGAAAGTGTCCCTTCGTTCTGGCGTGCTGCCCGCCCCCACCCCCCGGAAGGGGTTGTTTTTTCAGCGGAGGTGAGGACGAGGGGCCGAAATTGATTCCTCTCTCGGGTGTTTTCTTAAGCGCGGGGTCAAATTAGAAACACGCGGGGAAACACGGCCGAGAAATTAAGGTGCTTCCGGGGGGCTGTTCCTCGAGCCCTCGTATCCCCAGATGTCACGAGTGCCTTTCCGAGGAACCGAGTTGGAAAATTCTTCGAGTCGTTCCCGTTCTGCTGACTCACGAAAAGGTAAAATCCTACCTTTACCATAGGCGGATTTGGTCACTTCGAACGAGGGAGGGGTCCGTAAAGGGGGTCCGGGGGGCTCCCCAGAAAATTTTCGAAATTTTAAAGCATCAAATGTGCAGTTTGAGTCAATTTCGTCACAAATAACTACAAAATGTAAGAGTAAATAATTACCAAATGTAAGCGTCCTTCATCCTTCTTTCTTCCGTTCTTTCCCTTTGTCTTTCTTCCCTTTTCCCCCCTTTTTGGGGGCGAAAGGGGGGAGGGTCGCACACCCCTCCGCCCCCCTTTGAACTTTCTTTTACCTTTACAGTACGATATTTTTAAAACGATTTCCTTTCGAGCTAGTACTGAATTTTTAAAAGCATAATTGTTTGGAGGCACGTAGAATTTTTGGCGAAAAAATTAAATTTCTTATATAAAAATGAAAGCTCAAAACCGAGCGCTTTGTCGGAACCCTGACAATAATTGTGGGAATTTCGCTTAATCACCTCATTTTAAGCTTCTATTTCGATTATTGAAATCCGACTGGAGCCTGAAGATCGATGACACAACGTATGACAGCGTCAAAGTTATTAAAACGCCTCAAAATATACCCTGAACAGAAACTGATCTAATAAAACAGAACAACTGACTCTTTTCTTGTTACATTCCGCCCTTCCAAAGCTTTGACATAGAAAGAATTCCTCCCGAGGAAGAAAAAGCGACGTTTGGAGGCCTTATATTTCTCAAGGGTAAGATCAATCCCAAAATTCAGCGAAAAGCTCTCCCGAGTCGGAAAACCTGACAACCGACGGTGGGCGTTTAGCATTCCGTCAAAAACTTGGCTTTTAACCTTAGCGCAAACTTGAGCGAGCTTCGCTTGAATGCTACATTTAACTTCGTTTCGTATGCGTAGGTCTCCTCTGTCTCGATCGTTCTTGTACCGTTGCTCTTCTGGCGTAAAGGCGTATCTCGAGTTCCGCATAAGCCCTGGAAAGCATGTGTTTATATGTAAAACAGGGCTCACATGAAGATTGTGATACGCCTTTTTGTCAGAGCGACGATACGTATGTGACCTCGACCGCGAGTAGATAACAAGATTACCAAAAACACAAGACGAGGTGACAAGTTTGAAGCAAGTAAAGTTCAAAAGATTGTTGGTTACATGAATAAATGCAATTATTTTGAGTCGAATATTCTAAGGAAATCTCATTTCCATACAGCAGTCTTCGGAAGATTCACTCGGGAGCAGCGCAAAAATACCGTAAGTTGACTTGAAAAAATGAATATTATTTCCCCTCCTTCACTGGAAAAAAAACATATTGGATCTAGAGTCCAGACTCTTAAAAACATCGACAAGAAAAAATACTCTTGATTCGATCAGATTCAAGCTTAGATCAAGAACCACGCCTCTTAATTTGAGCGGATTTCCCTTTGATTTAAGGTTAAATCTGATCGAATCAAGAGTCCTTTTTCTTGACAATGTTTAAAGAGTCTAGACTCTAGATCCAATGTGTTTTTTTTTCCAGTGTTGTTAATGATTTAAAACTATCCAGATGGATTATCTTAATGTTTTGAAATCACTGAGTATTTAAAACTACCTATGGCTATTGATATTTCAAGCTTAAGGATTGACCAAAGTTCGTCGTTTCCTGCACGAGAAGACGTAACTTAATTCCAAGGTTGTCAAATTGACTCTTACGCTTCAATTATTTGCGAGAGTAAATCCGCATAATATTCGTAGAAAAGTCTGATTTTTGCACGAAATCAGTGGGAAAATTGGATACATTTACAGTTAGAAATTCTCAAAATTCTTCTGATGAAAAGGCAGTTTGAGCGGAAAAATCTGGCAACATTAAAATATATTTTGTCCTTTTTTGAGAAAAACGACGAATTAATAGGATATATTCAAACGCCTAGTTTATACGCTAAATATTAACGGAGATATCATGCTTTAAAAAACACGATCTATGACGTCATCCATCATACCATTACTGCGGTGGATGACGCCACACGTTGTGTTCTTAAGGGACGATATCTCCGATAGTATTGGACGTAAAAGTTGGTGTCTGGACTAGTTTTATTGTATTTTGGTGGATGTAATCTGAAATCATTGAAGTACAATTTTGTGACTAGCGCAACAGACCCATATGAAGGTCGCTTATAAAAACCATTGGTGAGAACCTGTTCGAAAAAAAAAAAAATTCTAAAAATCTAGCATACCATGGAAAATTTTTCTGAACGAAAGACTTTTCGACCGCGTTCATGAATCAAAAATATTTTTCAGCCGAAAGCAAAGACTGCAGAGGGGGAAAAAATCGCTTCGAATATTCGTGCTCCGGCGAACAAATATAATGCGTCGGATGAAATGAAAAAGTGTGAACAGACATTTTCCAACAAATGTTCGGTGGGTTTTTTCTTTCTTTTCTACTAAGCCGTAGCTACGAAATGATCCCGGTTCGAGATGATGGAGGATGGAACACATTAGTCTGGCAGAATGCCGTCAGACGCCTATAAATCAATCTCACACGTAAGGCTATTAGTTCTGAGAATATTCCGGGCTTGAGCGAACGAATACGAAAAGCCTCTCGCGGGTTGATTTTTTAGCATAAATTATGGTGGGCAGCGCGCTATTTAAGCCGCTGATGAAGAGAGAAAAAGATAGAAGAAGACAACTATTTGGCAGAGCGAGTGTCGTTCTTCGGATTTGAAAGACTTGTAATCGCGATGCAAAACAAGGATTTTGATTGAATATTATTCCTCTTCTTTATGTACTCAGAAATTGATTTAAATGACTCGGGCTCTGCCTTGCTATGGAAAAACACCCTATGGACATAGAGAAGCTGCCAAGTTTCCTTCGACAAAACAAATGATTCCTAGAGAACTCGTGGATATTTTTCTTCGAATTTTTCGCGGGAGTTTCATCGCGATCTAATCTTATATATGTATATGAATTTTGATAGAGGTTATTTACAAATATTCTAGCAAAAACTGTTTAATCAGGATAATTTTAGCAACGTAAAAATGAATATTTTTTTTCTCAAGGCAGAACCGGGACCGTGTTTTCAGGAGGAATGTCTTACAAACTCCTAAACTTCAGGGCATTAAGGATCATTCCAGGAGTCAAAGATAAATTTTTTTTCGAAACGAAATGCGCCTGATCATAATTTTGACCTTGATGGGCTGTATGAAGTCGAATTTAAAGTAAAAAGTTACTTATTATGGTTTGTTGGAAAAAAACGAAAAGAAGAGTGCATTGTGTCGTTGATTATTTGTGGAAAATGTATACTCAGTTTGAAAATGATAGGAAATGAAATAATTTGAAAACTCACTTGCGAGCGACTTGAATGAATGCAAGGAATCGGGAAACTCACCTACAAAAAACAAAACAAAAACAAAAAATGTTAGTAAAACATGAATGAGTAGTAAGCAAAAGAGGAATGAACAGAAAGGTAAGAAGAAGTAAAAACGTTTAAAATATCACTAATATGAAATGCATATTACTTGAAATGTTGAAACCCCGTTGAAATGTGAAATTCTCCGCTGATCCGCTAAATTAAGGCAGCACTGAAGGACTACCAAGTGGAGCAGAAATAAAACGAACAAAAACTGAGAGATAAGGACGGCAAAAGACTTGAAAATATCGCTGACTCCCGCTTAAAACTGCATATTTACTGCAACATTTTTGCGCAAAGAACCAATTTGAACGGGCCAAACCTTCCCAAAACGGGTCTAAACTCAATGACGACATGCCGAAAAAACGTGAATCGATTGAGCAAATTGTTCCAAAGTCCTCGAAGGTTTTTCGTTCTTTGCTTTCTCCTTATAGATAAGTATGACAAACGTTTTGACATGAGATATGCAGCAGAGCTTCTAAAAAGGCATAGAACTGCACCGCGTTTAGCAGAACCGTATCAGCTATTGCCAAATTTACTGGGTCATTTAATTTTTAACGCGAGAACGTTTGCACGGATTCCTTTGAAAATCTAAGGAATTCGCATTGTACTATGCAGGAAATTCACTGAAACATGCCCGATTAAAAATTCGTAAAACCGTCTTCGTGTAGAAAATTAAAATGCACAATTAAAAATGGCAATAGCTGAAGTAGCTTGGTTCCTCTCAGCTTAATGCAGTCAAACTATGAGGCGCAGGGAATTAGGTACTCATCGCTTTGTCCATCACTTAAAATAATCAACCCGCTGTATACTCATGAAAATACTCGGGTTCTTGGGTTACTTTCGGTTAATATAGGAAGTGAAATACACGCTAACACTAGTCGCATTATCATTGTTAACTGACGCAGGCAATAACAGGCGCGCATCATACAGCGCCTTCGACATCCTGGAAATACTGCAAGTGCTACACCGTTGCGCAGATACGTTCCGATGTGCGAATTGCCTATACTGCGCCTGCGTATGATTCATCTGTATGAAACATGTGTTTCCCTTAGTTAACGTTTTAGAGTACTTTTAGTGTTGATTTTGGTACAGTTTGCGAAGAATATAGCGCAGAAAACAATAGAGAGACTGGGAAAATGCATTCCTCCGAAACCCACGGTGGTATTGACCACTCGTTCTTTATTGAATTTCTTAAAGAAAACTAGCTAGCTATTTCACTTGAATTTGTCAACAGAAAACTCTAGTTGTTTTGTGTCTTACTTCCTGTATTAACCAAACTTTTGTGTTGAAATTCCTCTCTGTTTATCCTTAGACGTATGCTTTCACACAGACTTGATGAATATCGCCACCGGTATTGTTTTGCTAAAGTAAAAAATTGAAGTTGACCGTTGAACGCCACAGGAGTAACGTAAAACAGTCACACTGGGAAAAAAAACACATTGGATCTAGAGTCCAGACTCTTAAAAACATCGACAAGAAAAAATACTATTGATTCAATCAGATTTAAGCTAAAATCAAGAACCCAGCCTCTTAATTTGAGCGGATTTCCTTTTGATTTAAGCTGAAATCTGATTGAATCAAGAGTCCTTTTTCTTGTCAATGTTTTCAAGAGTCTGGACTCTAGATCCAATGTGGTTTTTTTTCCAGTGCAAGTTGAACATTACGTCAGTAACGTAAGGCCGCAATTCGGCAACCTTCCTTATCTCCGGGGGGAAAAATCCCAAGTCGCCCAGGATTCAACCCGGGTGCCCGCTTAAAAAGACAGATCAGTAACATTCAAGTTCTTGAAATCCCGCGGTCGAGGACAGGTACTCGCTCTTGAATTATGAACGCAGCGAAACGTTATCTCGATAAATTACCGGGAACATCGAAAAATTGCGACCTTTGACTCGCACAATGTAGTGGGTAGCCCTGCTAAGCTTCCAGATTACTCAGCGCAGCTTCTTGTGGTGGCCCCGAGTAGCTCATTTAAATCATCAGCTTCGGACAAGTCCGCGAGCTCATTTCGCTGATAAAGATCATCGCTCTTGCGCGGGATCAGGGGATTCATGAGTTCATGACTCGTCGCCCTTCAGGAATACGTCGTTTCCCGGACGAAGGGACGTAACTTCAATCCAAGGTTGCGAAATTGACTCAAAGACTTCGATAATTTACGAGAATGTACCTGTGAAATTTTTGTTCAAAAATTTTCAGATTTTTGCATGCACTGGAAAAAAAAGCACATTGGATCTAGAGTCCAGACTCTTGAAAACATTGTCAAGAAAAAGGACTCTTGATTCAATCAGATTTAAACTTAAATCAAAAGGAAATCCGCCCAAATTAATAGGCTTGGTTCTTGATTTAAGCTTAAATCTGATTGAATCTAGAGTATTTTTTCTCGTCGATGTTTTTAAGAGTCTGGACTCTAGATCCAATGTAGTTTTTTTCCAGTGTGAGATCAGAAGAACAGGGCTGCCACAGAATTTAGAAAATGAATTTCTGACATTTTCCTGATTTCCTTGACACATTTTAGTGTAATTCCCTGACGGTTGAAAATATGCAAGATGGTTGAGAACACATTATTAGGAATAGTATTCAGACAAACAGTCTTGTTCGAAACGTCAAACTCATTCTAGACAGCGAATAAAGGTGACCCAACGATTTTCCTTGACATTGTCGTCATTTTCATTGACATTTCAAGGTTTTTCCCGACATATTAAAATTCCCTGGCATTTTCCGGTATTTCCTGACTGTGGCAATACTGGCAATACATTTTCACACTGAAAAACAAAATCTCGGTGTCTTTACTAAGAAAAGGGTAAAATTACCAAGAATTCAGGGTCCTATTTGATCCCAGTTTTTTCTTGGTAAAATTACCATTTATGGAATTGGTAATTTTACCGGTAAAATCATTGAACTTTCTCGGTAATTTTACTGGACCTTGGTAAAAACGCCGATATTTTTTATCGACTGTGGTAGAATTACCGAGATAAAATGGCAAAGTTACCGGGCATTGATTACCAATAAAAGTTGTATTCTTACCTGAAAAAAACAGTAAAAATACCGGTTTTTAGGTAAGCTTACCAGTCTGTCTTGGTAAAATTACCAATAATTAGTAAAAAAGTGAGATGGTAAAGGTACCAACAGACCTTGGTAAAAACGCCGAGAATTCTTTTTCAGTGCAGTTAGAAATACCCCAAATTCTCCGGGTAAAAATTCAGATTACGTGCGGACATTTGGCAACACTGGAATGTAGATATGTTCTTTTGTAGGGGGAACGACAAATGGTATACCTCGGCCCGGAGTGTGTCATTGCGGTTATCGCTGTTCTCTTTGCGGGCTCGAACGTCGCGGTTTCACTGAGCCCCTCGTGGTGAGTGGGATTGGCAAAAACTAATGCGTTGACTTTACACGACCAGGATTAGCAAAGATTGATATGTTTACTTTCCAGGACATTTCTCGAGGAATACACGGTGGAGAAACGACCCTGTGGGCGAGTTCTGATCGCATCTTCTAGTTCAGAGATGAATCTAGAGCCCTCAAAGGGCTAAAAACCGGGCTGGGCCGGTAAATTCAGAAGTAGAATTTGCGCACAAAAATTTTGTTGCTTAGGGTGTCTGGTAAAACAGGCTGGCCAAAAACAAGTACTTTTACAGTACTTTTTCAGGACATTTCTCAGAAATTCACAACTTCTTCAACAGAAAAATACAGTAATTTTGTCAGTACCTCCATTTCACGAAATTCGAAAAATTTCAAAATTTTGAATTTCTCGCTCGAATTGCGACAAAAAATGTGGAATTTTCGCACTTTTTCAGTAATTCCGGACCGCACTTAAAAAATCAGTACTATTTCCAGACTTTCCGGAAGTTCCGGACTTGTAGACGCCCTGGTTGCTTCATCTATGAACGCGGTATTTCTCATAATTTTTTCTGAGATGGAAAATAGATTTAAAAGTGAGGAAATTTACCGCCTTGTGACGTCATACGAGCTTCGGCCGATTTTACTCCTGCTTGTGTCACCGGCAACACGGGCCTACGCCTGGTCGATCGTAACGGACAGGCAGGCGCGCGGAGCATGTTCGCAAGAATGTTCTTCCCGGGATTAAAATTCTCCAACAGGCGCGTAGGGAGTTCGGCTCGCCGAGGATTAGGAGGGGGGCAGGTAATTATTCAAATGAGGCTCCAAACGCACGTCAGACCGGAGAAAAATCGCGGATTTTGGAAAATCGGATTCTGCGCGGAAAACGTCCGGCGACCGGATTATAAAAAACTTCACGGTAAGAAAAAGTAACCAACATTTTGTGTAACTTGACGTTCAAATGAGCTACTTGGCTTCAGAAGAATAGTAGCGATGACTTAAAACATCAAAAAATTGTAAATTTGGGAGAAACTGAAGTCAAATTTTCGAAATCGAGTTTCCTTCGAAATTCGTCTGATCTCTTTCAGACGAAATCACTGACATAGCTTAAACAGAAAAATTCATCTTAATGGTACCAAAATGAAACAAATGAAAAAGCCGCAAGTGCGCAAAAAATGACGTAGTTTCAGACAAGACAGCCGTAAGTGACATTATTCCTCCAGAGAGCCAATGAAAAGAGTGCTTTCCAGTAAAATTCCGCCCTCTTCTGCCAATTTCTAACCGGAAAATGTGTTTGTTGTGTGTCCAAAACGCAACCACAAAAGCATGCAGAAGATAGCACTTACGCCCTAACACTAGCCTATCAGGAAAATGAATGATACTCTCTTCATGTAATTTAACATCGTTATACCTTCAAATCGGGACGAGTCCAGATAAAAGTTGTTATTACACGAAATATATACATATTTTTAACTTACAAATTACTTTCATTACAGACGAACATTGATAGAAAAACATATTGAAACATAAAAAGTCATGGATACGAGTTTTTAGAGCCAAAATAAGTGGGGACCTCACAGCCTTTCCCGCTCCTTTTTAAATTTCAAAGAGGTCTCGATTTCCCCGCGATCCTCT